GGGGGGGGGGGGGGGGGGATTTGGGGGACCATGCCAAACAATGTGGCATAATAAATGTGCGATGTTTAGGGGGACCTTATATTACCTTATTGACAGCTTCCGCAATAGTCCAAAAGCTCCGCCAGAATTCCTAAAATAACATTCCCGAGGTTCTGAAAATTTAAAAAGTTCGGCCCCCTACTTTGTAAGGTACCCTACAACAGGAACTAAGCCCCTACTAAGCATTTGGTTGCTAAATATTGCTCAACCTCCACAAATAACCTCCCTTTGATAATACAGCGGCAATGTCAGCTTTCTGTCATGCTTTTGTCTATTTTCTCTAGGTATTGTTAAGTAATGACAGCATCTATAACAGTGCAAAAGTTCTGCCAGAATACGTAAAATAGCGTTCATGGGGCTCTGAAATTTAAAATTTTCAGGTCATGTTAAAAATTAAACAGGCTTGAAACTGATATAATTTGTTTTTCAGACTGCAACAATTTCACTTTTTAATTTTCATGGGGGATCATTCCAAATATTTAGGGCTACATAAAGGTGTCTATCTATCTACAAGGGCATGGGGGTCAGGTAAAAAATTTCTTATGAAGGGGGGGTGGTCATTATGTGTAACAGGAACTATCTATCAAATCCCACCAGCCCCCTGCAAGATAGTTTCCAAAAGGAAATTTATGTGGAGACAGCTTTCACTCCTATCTTTGACTAGTTTGTCAGAAATTATGCTTGCCTAAACAAGTGCTCCAGTCATAAAACCTCTTTGAAGTTGAAAAAATTTTATTAATTAGAAAGATTAGTTCTTGAAATTTATACATCCCCTACCTAAATTACTATTTACCTTTGGCTGATTGAGGTGCAATTGTCAGTTAACAATGACCAACACTGAAAAATGTTCCAGCCATGCTATTTAATTCTAAACTGGTTGCACCTGTCAGTAATTACCGGTGATCAACACAGTCATTGATAAGAAAATTATAAAGATTACAACGAAAAGAAAGGAATGTCATTTGGACCATGACTTTCTAGCATAAAACCAAAATTAAAAAAGTAATGTCTGTACATGTACAATCCTAGCAAAAAGTCTTGTGTGACACTTCACTTATTGTTTAGGAGCAAATGGATATACTTGGTATTAATTTGGCTTGCTATGAATAATGATCTCGTTCCAGATTAAGTATGATTTGTACCATTTGTTGCTAACAATAAACTAATCAAACTTGTCAAGTTTCCTTCCAAGGTAGTTTTTTTTTTTGCAATATATTAAAGATAAAAGAAATATATGTACATATATAGTTAAAAAAAATTCAAGCAAGCTACAAAAGAACTGAAGTATACAATAAAAGTCAAGCAAAATATAATGTACAATTTGGTATGATCTTAGCAAACCACAGCGCTCCAACCTATGAAGACAAGTGAGTGTTGAGCCTCGATCCTTCACTTCTTTCTTGAGAAAGCTCTTTTTTGCTTTTCATTCACAACATCATCAGGTGATGGGGAGCAAAAATTAAAAGGAGTTATGTTTATAAAACTTGAATTGTTTATATCATTAACAACATTTTGCTTTACTGGTTTGTCAGCAGAGGGTTTTTTTGCAGATGCCTGTGTAGAATAGCATAAGGCCAAAGCAAACATCGAAGGCTTGGCAGCCAAAGGAGGAGTGCTATCCAATGTTCTGGTCTGCTGTCTTTCCCTGTCAACATATTTTTTCTGAAACCTTGCATTGCAAATGTCTACTGTAAGTTTAATAGGAGAAGCCAGGGGTTTCTCATCAATTGCATATAGTGATCTTGTTCCTTCCTGGACAACAGATGAATCAAATGTGGATGATATCACTGATATGGCAGAGGGTTTCTTTTCTTCTTTATGGTTGTGGTTGTAGTCCTTTTCTTTTGGATTACTATCACTGGCATTTCCAACACTGTCTGCATTGTGCAACTTTTGGCACAAAGAATCTGATGTACCATGTTTGTGTTCTTCTTCTTGTACTTCCACTGATGGGATTTCTACAGCTCTTGAAAGAGTACTTAATGACTCAAATGCTTTGGAGGTTTGAGATGCTATAAGTGGACACACTGGTTGTGATAACAATGATGATGATGATGATGATGAGGCTGATGATAATGATAATGAGGCTAATGGCTGACCCAATGAAAATTTTCCAGAAGATGATGACGATGATGACATTGACAAGGCTGATGGCTGACCCAATGAAAAATTTTGGGAGCATGATAAACTGCTGAGTGAAGTTGATAACAAAGGGTCTCCAAGAAAGTTTGCTTTTTGCACATCACATTCAGATGTTGGAGTTTGAGATAATGTACTTAGGGAAATGGATAAGAGAGGGGTTGGATATGATAATGACGATGATTCTGGTTTGCATAACAACACAGGAGGATTCTGCGGCGTGGTCTTTAAAGGTTCTGACAGTGATTGTGATCCTACTTGGCCCGAGAGACTACTGAGAGGAACTGAAAGCACTGAGTGTTGAGATGATGTTTGAAAAAGACTCAGCGGTGATGAACCAGATAACAGCTTTCCTGGATGTGACAAGCTACCCAGAGGAGCTGATAACAAAGATTTGCTTGCAAATGACATTGCCAGTCCTGTTGATGGCTGGCTTAAACTTTTAGTATAAGATGATTTTGATGCCCCATCACCCTGCCTGCTTTCCCTAGAATGTTTAGCTTTTGTTACTAAGTGAGTTTGATAAGATACAGAGCCTTACCTTGTTAAAGCCATACAGCGAACAAATTGCACAGAAAAGGACATGAAAAAAAGAAAGAACAGGCAGCCCATTAGCTTTCAACTCCTGTCAACTCTAAAAGTACCACAACCTATTCTTTTGACTGCTTTTGTTAAAAAGATCCTATTAAGAGAACTACATGTATCAGGTACCGTAGCACCAAAACTTTAGAGTATGTCTCGGGGTAATATTTCCTAAAAATATCTTTTTTTCTGAAAAACACCCAGATGGGCACCCAGGTATCCTGTGAGGATGCCCACTTTTTAAAGAATTTTTTTTTTTTGACAGACCGTAAAAGTCTTTTTTCAGTCCATATACAGCTTGAAAATTGCATCTGATTAAGGGGACTCAGATTATTTTCACATCTTCCTTGAGCGAGGGGGTCAAGGTGTTTGTTGATCTATATGGTTTGTATGAATGGTAAAGGTGGTTCTTGATCACAACACAGTAAAAAAATTGCATTGCCTTAAGAGGACTTAAAATAATAGAAAATAAATCACTTTTCATCTGAGTGAGGAGGTGAAAAGGCTTCTGGTTTTCAGAGTTTTAGGGATGCTAAAGGTGGTTTTCAGTGTGTATATATAGTGACCAGTCTAAGTCATTTCAATTTGTAGCATGTCTGAAGGTCCATATCTAGTGGCACGGAATGGTCTTTGCGAGAATTTGCAAGCATGTGAGCAATGCGGTTTTTTTTCCAAGCACAAGCAGTGATCACACTTGTCTTGCAAACAGCAAGCACTTTAGAAAATTCAAATGGCGAGCATCAAGCACTTCGTAAATTTTCCGCTAGCAGGAATCTCTCTTTTGTTAAGAGGAAACGTTTTGTGCCAAGTAATCTGGCTGACACCTCCAAAACAGGACAATTGGTACATTTACTCTTCAACCAATCCCAGCAGCTTACAGACAATGACGCCTTGTTTGATGCCAAATTACGTCACATAGCTTCACAAGAGTCAGTGAGCTTCAGGGGGTGGATGCTTAAGGAGATCTAATTAAAAGCTTTTCCTTTCTAACCTGACATTGTGAACACACCACAAGAAGAAGCTAAAAGTTACAAGAATTTGGAGTGTTGGGACAAAGAAGGTTTTTTGGTTATGTAATTCTTAGGAAATGTAAACAATGTAGCATTAACTAGTCTGACAAGGATTTTGACTTTCGGTTTCAATGATTGGCAAACTGGTTTCCCGCTGATTGACTGAAAAAGATTCAATGCAATGAAGCTTTATTGCGTTCGTAGAACGCAGTCCTAATGCAGACTTAAGTCAAGTTTCATGGGACGGTGGATCTTGGATCTTGGATCTTGCGACACTGATTTGGCCGCCCCGCAGCAGGGGCAAAAACGAATGACATCATCACCAAACAATGTGCTGTACATTTCATGTCCATGTGCATTTCGTGTCCATCTGCAACATCATTCTTGTTCTCTTTTGTTGCTTCTTTCGTTGTTTTCAATGTTTTGGAGTCTTCTTTGAACTGGTTTTTCACTCTGATTGCATTTGACAAAGAAGGGAATGCAGTCCCAATGCAGACTAGAGTGATATTTTGGCCGGGTGAAAACAAATTAGCACGTGTAAACAAGATGATTTGCTTTTTAGATTGTTCCCGATCACTTGTTTGTTGTTTTGATTCTGGACCGCGAGTGGCCTCTTTTGTCAGGATGCGACACAACATGCTTTCGTTACATAACTGGGACAACAATTATTTATTCTGTTCATGACCACGACTTTAAATCGTCTTGGCTATGGGATGTTAACTGTGAAAACAGCTATATTTCATTGGCTATATTTTGAGTACATTAAACAAATTTTGTTGACTTTAATTACTTAGTTCTAGTGGCCAAAAATATTTCAGTGTTCAATGAAGCTCAAAATTAAATCAATGGAAGAGTACTCTGAAGCCAAGATCTATAAGAGCAAGCCAGAACTAAGGAACAGCAATGTACAGTACCACCTGAAAGTATTCACCCATTTCCCGCATTCTCACCGCGGGGCCTCAACGCATCATTGATGCGGTAATGACATGGTATTCCCGCACTCGACCTCGTCTTTACCTAGGTAAACCCAAGGACGGTATTCGTCCTGCCACGGCAACGTTTGGACGAGGTATTACCTCGGTAAAGAAGACACGTCAGGTTTGGATAGCATTTTGTTTTCTGTTTCTTCGCGACAAAGCGTGCTTGAATGCTCAGTCTTGAATCTCCGCATTTTCAACGCAAAAAAGCATTTGATAAAGCCAATCATCCATGTCAGTTACAAGATTGATAACACAAAAAAAAAATTGGTAGCTGCATTGTATGAACTTCACCAAAAATATCTGTAACTTGGTAAAATATACAGGTAATGTCTCAGTTCTTAAACACTGTGTTTCAAAAGCACTCCATTTTGCCAAGAAGAACGTGACAGAGCATGTGTTTGCTATCTGATTTTATGTCCACGCATCATGCAAATGTTACATCTGTTTGTAAAACATCTGTCTGTAAAACTTTAGCTGTTCACAAAGATGATGATTTCAACAACAGACAGCTATTTAAGTTAATCACCTGC